GTAAATTGGGAGGAAACGACTTTAGATAGAAAGCATTAGCTTGTTTTGTAATTAATTTGTGGTATCAAGAGGAAGAATGTACCTAGTCAGCAAAATCTTTGTGATTAAAAAGATAGTTCTGAGTGTTTTTTGCTTTCAATTCATGATAATATGCTTATTCACACTTCTGAAGAAAAAAAAAGCTTATTCACATGAACAAAGCTCCAAATGTGCCAAATGTTTGATGGGATTTGTTCACCTTTTGGGAGGATTAGAGACCAATGGCTCCAAACCCTTGGTTTTTTTTTTATTAGAGGCATTCTCTTTCTGCAGAGGATTATGTAGACATTGCGGATATTTTCCTCACTTTGTAATTTGTATTTGGGTGGCACCCCATACCCGCAGGTTCCTTGTTTTTTTTTTTTTTTATAGAAAAAGAAGTATTATTAGGCAAGATGAAATAAATATAATTACAGAGAATAAGACATCCTCCTCATGACATCGAATAAAGATATTTGAAAACCAGCAAAAGAAACAAAGATAACATGAAAAGGTTCATCCTGCAGTGAACAAAATTATTGCCTCCCAATTCCTGTGAAGCTCGGAGAGAGCAGAATCAGGATAGTTCTCATGAGCTTTGGCCGATAAGGTGGCCAAAAAGGCCAACTGTTCCCAAAACTCCTGAAATGATGAATAGCAGTCCCAAAAAATCCTAAGGTTCTGTTCAAGCCATATAATCCATCTTCCTGAGATAAGATATGTCAAATATTAAGACAGTTGTTTTAAGAAGAAACTATTAATCTAGGTGTTGTGTGCTACTTTTATACCATTACCATGTGTTTTTAATGAGAATGGACAAAACTGTGTGGTGGCACAGATGAATGAATCTGGCGTTGAGCATTCAGATAGAGTAAATTTTTGCGTATTATTTTGTTATAAAAATTGCTAAACAATCTCGATATACTTTTTGAAACTTTCTTCCATGTAAAGTTTTGTAAATGAATGGTGAAAGCTCCCTTTGCATCAAATATGTTCATATGAATTGCTGTCGTTGATTGGATTAATAGTACATATTTGCTTCAATGCTTTAGACTAGGTTGGTTGCGGTCTCTTAAGATGTCTCTGGTATGCACTTTAAGAAGTCCAATTTCCATAAACACTTGTTTCTTCACCACGATGTGGCTGAGAGACTCCAGGTTAGGCTTTTTGATACTTTTGGCCTAAGATGGGTTTGTCCTCCATTCCTTGAAAGTTTCCATCTCCTCTTCTCTGCAAGAGTCTGGCAGGATTACGAATGGAAATTGCTTCTGGAGGTGCTATTTTTGTTGCTAGTCTTTTTAGATTGTATTCACTCTCCAATGATGATGTTGTGAGACAATTTCTTTTTGGGCTTCCTTTTGGGTTAAGGTTAATGATCACGGTCTCTTTTAAGGGATCTCTTTACCTATTATAAAGAGAGACTGCATATATATATATATATATTTTATGGCTGTTAACTTGTTTTCTGGTTTTCTGTTTTCTATAGTGTAAGGGGATATCTTATCCTCCTTTTATGTACCTTCTCATTCTCTCTTTCTGATGATATTTATTCTTCTTTTAAAGAGATGAATGAATTAATGGATAGTTTAGCTTCTTCTTTGAATATGTACATTCAGACTTGTTTTTCAATTGGCATAAATCTGTATTTCAAAGATAATATACGTGATTTATTGATTTCTTTTGTAACAGCCAGAGACTACGACCCACAGTTCATGAGATCATTACATCTAAGATCAAAGCTCATGCAGAACTTATTAGTTCTTCGAGGTCTGGCATTGGTCAGGGTGATCGATCCTCAACTACTGTTCTCCATTTTATGAAGGGACAGTTAGAAAGCTATCACTTGTCAAAACAGAAGCGTCAGAATGGGATATCACTTGTGGGGACTCTCTCAGCAGTAAGTCCGGTCTCTCCTGTTATGGCTCCTGCAGGAAAAGCACAGGCTGCAGCGAAAGAGCTTCTTGATTCAATTTTGGATTCTGGTGTTCGGATCTTAGGTGAGACATTAATTTGATGTGTTTCTCATGTTATGTTGGGAAGACTTTTTAGTCTTGTTCATGTATTTTCTAATTATTCTCTTACCATGTGACCCTAACACAAGACTTCTAGCAATTAGGACTGAAGAAAATGAACCAAAATACCTTCCAATCAAAAGTTTGGAAACTTTAATGTAATACTTTTAGTTCCAGGTTAGGCTCCTTGAAAGTTTCCATCTCCTCTTCTTCCTTCCATCTTCTAACGTAAGACTTCATTTGGATGGACTAGGCAAGGTTTGTGCCCCCCAAAACTTATGGTTTTTTTTCCTACTTCTTTATGTGGTTTTGGGATGAGTAAGGAATACTCTACTCTTAGAAGAGGGGCTATCTTTGCCGGACTTTGGGTGTTTGGTTGGAGAGAAACATAATAATTTTTAATCAACCCTCCTCTTTTGGTAATGACAATTTAGATAGGATTT